TTTCCAAAAGGAGACATGTTTTCTGACTTCTTCCTAAAGCCACTGAACTCTTGCTTCTTTTCAGTCTGCTTGCCTTCTCTCTTCTTTTCTGGTTCTTTCACAGGCAATGACTGGTGAAGCTGCCACCTACTCAATATCACTCAATATCAATATTGCATTTGCAATTTCTTGCCAAGAAACCACTTAAGCACTAGCATAGCTTCTACTTTGGCATTATCATGAGGTTTGTGCCTTGGGCAGTTGCTTCTATTGTTTCAACCATAATTAAACAAAGGCCTATTTATCTGTTCCACTGTTTAGCCTGAATGAAGGGTGTTTAGTACATCCATTGATTTTTACCATGTTTAACACTATTAACCCTTTCAACATACAATTACCATGCTAGTCTGACTTCACCCTATAAGTGAGAACACTCAATACTATATTCCATTAGTAGGCTTGTCAGAACTCGATTTAAAAAAATACAGTAAATGGGTAATAACAATGTTTGTTTAGGCATTTTTTCTATAGTTTTAGGGATTTTAATTTCAAAGTTGCAAAAAAATTATGGAGAGAGTCGGGGGCGGAGAGGGGGAAGGAAGAAGGGAGGGAGCACTCCCCAGAGCAGGGGCTGGCATCAAAAAGTATAAAACAGAAATTGTTATATCCTTTAATGAATCTCGAATAAAAGTTCTCAAGCATAATTTCTCTTAGTTTGCATATCTGTAAATTTTGATCACCATCATAGGAAATATTGTTTTGTTAGCTTGTATGTGTACAGTGAAATCAACATGTATCATCCAAAAATCTAATCCTTGAAAGTCTATCCAACAGCAATACTCTAACCCATCCAGTTCTTTTACACATGTATCGCTTGTGCAATATTTAGGAAGCTATCTCATACATAACTCTGATCAGGATAGCCTTTTGTAAATAGTTACTTGAGGTTATCTACCAGTCTCTTTTCTGAGTTTTTATGGAATATTACCTACCAAGCATGGCATCTGTCTCTGCACACATAGCATAATAAAATGCTCTGATATCTCTGATTTCTTTCCTTGTAAACTGCCCAGTACAGTTCTTCGTATACGCAGAATAATAATCTACTGGGTGCATGTCTGAAAGAGGAGGCCATTTCGGAATTTTAATGGCTTCATATGTCACCTAGAAAATAAGAGGAAATTAAGGTTATTTTGACAAGTGAATATACAATGGGTTTGAGAAAACATTGGTTTGAATAAAAAATTCTCAAATTGTGGTTCATGCAGCCCCTGTTTATTATTTGTTACATTGTCTTGCCACTTTCTCTTTGCTTTCTAGCTATTCCACGGGTATTCAATCATCACCTTGTAAGAAGAGCCTGGATGCTGGTAAAAATCAGCTGGAAAACTAGAGTAGAACCAGCAGCATGTGACCTGCCAGTTGATATCTTATCAAAAGATGAAGGACACAGTCTTTTAGAATTATATTCAGTAATTAATCTCAGAAGTGTGGCATAGTGCCACATAAAAGAATGCTGTAGCATATGCTTTCAAAGGATTAGGTGTCATCTGGGAAAACAGATCAACATGAAAATTTACTCTTTCTGGGAAAATCTCCAGAAGAACGGTGTGAAAATTGTATCTTGGAAAAAGAATTCACATGGGTAGTCTAATTTTCAAATATATATTGGATACAATCTGGCATTTGGATGCTGAGATCGGCATTTAGGGCAGTTTTATGCTTTGTGCCAATTTAGATGCTATGGCCTATGATGTACGTGTTCTATTTAGGCATCCACATTTGGAAACTGAGCCCTGAATATAAAAATAAGCATTGCCTTTGACTCAGAATTTAAAATGTTTGTTTTTCCAGTGCTCAAGAATTTATTATTTCTAAATGATATTTAGAACTGTGAATTACAAAATATGCAATATGAAACTTCCATGACTTGAAAAAATAAGTAAAAAATTATTAAATATTCCACAATTTAACTAATTAAAAATCACAATTAAAGACAGGGTTGACAAGGAATAGGTCACAATGTAGTTAGTTAGCAGCCTCCTGAGAGGCTTAAATGCATTTTAGAAAGGCAGTGTAGATTGGGCTGGAGACACCTGGCACCTCAAAATGAGTCAACAAAACTGATGTGTTAGGCCTTGTACTGCAAGTATTTTTAGCAGCATGTAAATATCATCCTAAGAAACAAACTCATAACGAACAAAATGTTTTCATTTTTGATGAATATAAACCTTTCTTTGGCCATCTGGATACTGATGTAGCCTGCAAGTTTTTATCTCTTCAAACTCATTCACTCCTCCGCAAAAAACTACATAATTGCTTCACATAGACAAAAGGATATATGTGTGTGTGCCTATATATGTGTGTAAATATATATATATATATGTGTGTGTGTGTGTCCTAGTGGATAGGGGCATATTGATGAATTTGTGGGACTGACAGAGGACAAGCAATGTACAGCTAGAGTCTCTTCTAAGGATGTTAAGTATTGAGTAATTTACTAGTCTAGTCGGAATTTCCACCAACTACTTGACTAGTCGATGGGCACTTCTGCATGCAGCCCCTGCATGTGGGCATGCCAGCTTTAAAATGTACAAGAGTCCCCAGCGGGGGCTCTTGTGCATTTCAAAGCGGCAGTGCCCAGATGGAGCTTTGGGTCAGCAGAGGATTCAGAGTCCCCCGCTGACCCTGGGCTCCATATTGCGCTGGTGCTTTGAAATGCCATGGGTAACCCAGGGTCAGCTGAGGACTCCCCAGCTGATCCCAGGCTCCGTGTGACATTTCCCCAGAACGCGGGGTCTGCGCGGTTTGAAATGCTGCGCTGGAATCCGGTATCAGCTGGGGAATCCCCAGCTGACCTCAGGCTCCACGTGGAGCTGCTGCTTTGAAACACCGCCTCAGCGTTTCAAAGCAGTGCCACCCCTTTGAAATGCTGTGGTGGTGTTTCAAAGGGACAGCGCTGCACAGCTTGGTATGGGCTCTGTGCGGTGCTGCTGCTTTGAAGTATCCCCTCTTCCCCCACTTTGCTACATCCAACTGGTAGAGGCAGCAAAGGGTGTGGGGAAATCGACTAGTCAAGTGGTCCTTAACATCCTTAGCCTCTACTGCTCATTTATATAGTGCTGATGGGGAACTGATGCATCAGAGGTAGAAGAGTTCAGCTGTGGAGGGAGCTACTCATATTCAGGCTAATGCTACAGGATCCCTACAGCTACCATTAGTGACTAATATGTCATTTCCATTATCTTTTCTTGATTAAATACACTACTATCAGGCTAATTAAGAAGAGAGCAAAACCAGCCTCCAACTCTACCTATCAGTTGGCAGTATTCTTTTTCAAGGCAGGACATGTGGCAGAGATAGCAATTCTCTGTTGAAAGAATCCTTATCCACAGACAAGAGAGGTACCATCCACACTCACTCTGTTAGACATCTCTACACTATAGCAGTTGCTATCTTTAATCACCAAATACTATTGTCCCACCTTCAAGAGCTTACAGTATGGTACAGAAACATTTTAATGCCTTAGCTTATTCTTCTCAGATTACACCTGAGATAAATTATGGTCATTCATTGCAACATCTCCAAAGCCCTTACCTCCCACAAAAGTTAATATTCTCTTCCATATTATCCAACATTTATATGAAGTCATTAAAAGAGGTGGTGAGACAGCAAGGTCTGAAGTGTCAGCAGCATACACTGATAAACACCTGGCTCTATTTTCTTTATATCACATGTAAACAGCAACATCTTCAAGTTTTCTCAGTATCTAAGCAAAATGAGAACCTGTCTGTGGCTGAATTCAGGCAAGAGAGACCTGAATACCAATAAACAGAAGTTCCTCAAACAATGTGGTCCTTCTAGAACATTCTCCATTACTCAAAACCCCTGCCCTCACATTAACTCACCATTGGTAACTGGCCAGAGATTGAACTTCTTCCTATAGGATTTACACTTGACAATACTGATCCATTAAATTAATGATCTCTATGCTTGATTGTTGCAATCATAGCTGGGAACAAAGCCATATGACCCTGGAAAAGTATCAATCCATACAAAATGCAGAAGACCATCTGCTTAGCAACACAGTGTACTATAAGCATCATTCTGATGCTTCACTCTGCAGTAGCTTCCTCTTGAATATAGAATTTAATTCAAGGTCTCAGCTCTCAGTCCTCATATTCAAAGATCTCCATAAGATTGCATCTAGCTACTTGAGAGACAATGTCTTCCTCCATACGGTTATGTTTTACTGGAATCACAAGAAGAGTCAACAAATGGGGAAAAATGGCTCTTAAAACAACAGAAAAAAATCATTAGAAATGGATTTAGCTTATCCATTATCTAGCTCCCTCCTGAAACAGATCAGAGTGACTACAGGTCTTCCTGAATTCAAAACTGAATGTAAAACACACCTTTCTGACTTTGCTGTCCCATAACACAACTCAAAAAATAAAATATATTTTTGAAAAGTTTAAAAACCTCTTATTTATTGTAACCTAATAATTTTTCCCCAGGCGAAGGAAGAGTGAAGTTGTAAGTGCTTAAAAAAGATATCAGATATTATACTAATGGAGGCCCATCAAATTATACACGTAAACTGACTTTACAAACACCCCAGTAATAAAGACTGGGCTGATTATGTAAACTGTAAATACTCAGATAAATAAGCATAAAGTCTCTTCCAAGCCTATTGCTAAGTTACTGGGTTGTGTGAAATCCTTTTGCCATTTATGCAGTGGGAGCCATGGTAACTAATCAAGACAGTTTTGTGACAATAGCAAAACTGCATTTGTGGACAATACAAGAGGCAGATAAACAGAAATTGTTTATTTCTTCCCCCGGAGAGATTGGTATTTGCTGATTTTCCCCACATGGAAGTAGCTAGATTTTTCCTTAGCATGAGAATGAAAGGCTGAGTGAACTAGTAACCAAAGCATCAGATAACAGGAAAGACAAAAAGTTGCATTGTGCAAGGTCATTGATGTAGCACCTTGGCAACCATTCTTGGTGAAGATCAACTTGTTGCCACGGATTTCAAACACAATTTGATTATATATAGCATCCCTCTGACTCAAATTGTTACTAAATGCTTTGCAAAACAATGAGCTAGAGACTAGGTACAGGCAAATGCCAATAAGTGTTCAGTTCAATATACATTTCTTTTTTAATAAGAAATGGTTTTTCTGAGTCAGAGAATAATTGGCTAAGACAGATTGGAGTTGTCACCTGTTTTCTTCTTTTTTGACTTCTATCTGGGGCAACTTTAGGAAGTGTCAAGTATCAGAGAGGTAGCAATGTATGAAATAAGGTATTGTACATAATAAATGCAGCCGTGTGAGTCTGAATCTGCAAAAGCGGCGAGGAGTCCTGTGGCACCTTATAGTCTATAATGTGCCACCGGACTCCTCGCCGCTTTTTTAGGAAGTGTGCATAACATCTCATCCACAGATGGCCTTAAAGTGTACTATAATGCCAGTATTGGGGGCCAGAGCCCAAATTTGATGTGAATTATACAGTGTATGAAATAAGGTATTGTACATAATAAATGCAGTTACAAATTCATTTTGATTTAAGTTTCTATATATTTTCACATACCTTTTCAAGCCAATAGGGAGATGTTAGAAATGTAGAGGAACCAAAATTTTCCCCTGTAGAGGGTGATGGGTATGGATGTGGTAAATTTAACCCCAAGTAAAGAACAAATGGTTGACTAATGTTAGTGGCTTCTTTCCTTATCCAACTTGCTGCTTTATCAGTATTCTGCCAGTCTTTTTCCATCACTCTCACAAATGTCTTGTTGCCAGTAAGATTCACCATGGGTCTGCCTTCTTGTCTGAGCAGGAAATCAACATCCCTTGTCCACGCTTCCACACGATTACTGAAAAGACAAAACTGCATTAATTGGAAAGCATTTCCTTCTCTTTTCCTACAACTAAATATCTAACAACATTACCTAAGCTTTAAAATATCTGAGCATCTAAATTTGCAATTGCATTTTATTTACATATTTCTATAATCTTATTATTAGATTCAAATAACCAACAGCTAAACCATACATTCACCACTTTAGTTCATATTTTTGCAATTCTGAATCTCTGCAATGAAGACATTATGACAGATCCAGAAAGTGTAAACAAGGACTTTAATTATCAGATCTCAGAGTTCATGTGGAGAATGAGTAACTAAATTATAAAGTTTTGAAAATGAACCTTAAACTCTTGCTTATCACACTCATAATGAGAATGAAATAGGATCATACCTTCTTTGCTGACAGATGGTACTGCAAAGATAGTAAGCTCAGACAGAAGAAACAAAGTACATAATGTTGCTTAATAAATGAAGAGAAAGTCTTTAAAGCTGAAATAAGTACTATTGTAGAACTGAAAACATATAAAAGTCAAGTAATTTAGGCCCCAAATGAAGTGTTTAAAAATACTTATATGTACTTAGCGCTCTTCTTTCAAAAGGGCCCCACAAATATAAATATATAACATTACAAAAAATGTAGTCATTACTTTGATGGGAGGGTAGTAGCTATTTGACAAACAGCAGTTGGGATTGGGAAATTTTGGACAATGCCTCCGTCATAACCTTCCTCATTTCCCACATTTTTTAAATAAAAGTGCTGAATTTTTTTCCAACAGTTGAAAAGTGTCAGGGTTTATATTAGTAACAATGAAGAATCTGTCCAAATGTCAACATGCTCAACTCCTTTGATACTCAGGCACTGCCAGCTGAACTTGGCCACTGCTGTTCCCTGTATGTGAGAGATCTCTTGTGTAAAGGTGGAGGAGCCAGCATATGTACCTCCTACACCAGCTGCATATCTCTAGCATAAGCAAGAAGGAGGACTTACTGGGGGTATGTCTACACTACAGAGTTCTGTAGGAAAAATGGCTGTTTTTCCGACAAAACTTGAGGAACATCCACACTGCAATTGTGTTCTTCTGCAAGAAAATCGAAAGAACAGAGGGGTTTTTCCAGCACTGGCAATCCTCATTCTACAAGAAAGAAGCCTGTTTGCAAAAGGTGTGGGGAAGAGGGAGTACTTTCGGAAGAAGAGGAAAGAGGAAAAAGCACGGGTGCCCTTGTGGCCATTCCATCCAGAGCAATCACAGCTTATATGCGAGACAATGTCCATTCAGTCTCGAATGAAAAAAGCAGATCACTATTTCGATGCACTTTTGCAGTGTGGATGCTCTCTTTCAGAAGTTTTTTCGGAAGATATCGTCCAAAAAAAGCTTCTTCCAAAAGAAGCCTGTAGTCTAGACATAGCCTGGGGGAGATGAGGGTGTGGTAGGAATCAGGCAGTCGTGAAAGGGGGTATACTATAACTAAGCTCACCTACATCTGGCCCCCCCTTTCGGCAGGCAATACAGTGCTTACACTGGAGGTAGAAGTTACAACAGAATGACTTCTTTGCTGGAGCCTGGCAGTCAGGTCCCTGGGAGGCTGCATACCAGCCCTCTGTACACAAGTGAATTTCACTTTTAATGAAGAGTTCTGATTGTTCTGTAATATAATTCCCCCAAAAGAATGTTGTTACACTTTAACAGACATGTGCCATTTTACATCAGCTAAAGATCGGTTCATCATCATCATCAATCATCATCATCATCAACAACCATGGGCTCAACCCCCGTTGGTGTCCGAAGCCTCCCTCACTATTTTCTTCCACCTTTCCCTGTTCAGTGCAGAGTGGCTTAGTTTCTGTAGACTAGCTCCACACCAATCTACTATATCATCTACCTGTTCTCTGTGGGGTCTGCCTCTCCTATTGATAATATATATGTGCATCTGTGCTCTCACTTGTTAATTTCAAGGGAGCTATGCTGAGTTATCCATGTTGAAGAGCTGGCCTTTTATTTGGATCTCCTTCCATTAGCCATCTTCCTCAAATCTGATTAATCATGCAGCAGTGACAAATGCATGATAGCTGCCAGGATCATGCTCTGATGCATTCATAGTAAACCATTTAATATAGTAGTATATAATAATATATAAGAAATGGAAATGTAGCATTTGCAATGATTATTTATCTTCACAATGTCCACATGGGCATCAGTTTTGTAGGACATATTAAGTTAATTAAAAAAAAAAAGTATTAGGTGAACTAACTGTCCATAGATTTTGTCGCATAGGTATCAGGTAATAGATATATGTAGGCTTGGAAAAATTAGATTTTTAATTGGTAAATGTTGGTAAACACCAACTTCACCATATATACACAAACCACTCACAAATACTTCCATTGATGGTAATCAACATATACAACTAGGCAAAGTACAAAAAAATGGTGCTTGACAACTCAGAGTTTGATTTAAGGATATTTACTTTGTATATTTTGACATGTGATGTTGATCATTTCTGTTTTAACAGTTACAAAGCTTTAACTTTTTGAATCTCAACTGTACTATTTTGGCAATACATTTCTCACAACTGTGAAAAATGAAATAGCTAGATATTGAAAATATATTTAAAAATAAACATTTGATATTATCTATAAAAATTATAGAAAAAAAATAAAATTCTGCCAAACCTAGATATGTTTAGGACAAACTCTTCCTCTGTGGTTCAGAACATGTTATATGGGTCAAATCTATATTTTTAAAATATCCATATCTCTATTGAGCCTAAGTGTCATACACCTCATACTGAGAGCACAGCTCTTTTTTTCTTTGCAAGTCTTCTCTTTACCAGGAAACCAAAGCAACAGGACTGCACTAATTAACTCAACATGCAACAGTAACCTTCCTTATATCTATTCCACACTATTTATAGATGATTTAATTGGCTAGTTAGACTTTTAAAATGTCTGCATAGATGTAATTAGAACGAGATACACATTTTTCTCTAACAAATATAATATCCATTTTATTTTTTCAATTAGAGAAAAATGTATTCAATTTTAAAGTTCCAATTATGTATACACCAGAAAAAGGCTGACTCACCATGTATTTATTTTCATTCATTCTCAACCTTCACCCACTTTTGTTTGAGCAACAGTAAGGGCCTGATCCTGTGAAGTGCTGATCTCCCTCAACTCCCACTAAATAGAAATTTGAGAAGGATCGGTAACTTGAAAAAGGCTTTCAACATAGCACGTTTAGGGCATCAACTGCAAAGATAAACACTGACTAAAATTACTGAGCTTGATTCACCACTACGTTCCTCAAGTTTTGTCAGTGCAGAACCATTGATTGTATAATATTTTATATTACTACTGAATCAACCCCAAGCTCCTGAAAAATCAGCTTTGGATGACTAAACAATCTTATAAATGTATGATACATAATATGATAATATATACATTATTAATAATCCCCCTGCATATCAGTTTTGCTTGCTTTCTTTTTCTTATTAAACTTAAATATGTTTGCTTCTTATTTCTTACCTGTTCTAGACAAACCTAAGTATTATTTAGCTGCATAGAACAAGGAACAATGCATTTTCACGAAGAATTATGTGCCAAGCATAAACTAACAAAAGCAACAAATTAATGTTTTTGCTCCATAATTTTTTCCACCATATAGAATTTCTCAGTTATCCAAACTTTATCCAGCTATCTAGTAAAACTGTGATTCAAGCTTTTCTCAGTTGTGCCCATACAACAGGAATCAAATTTGGAAAATAAAATTTTACCTTTCAAAACAGAACTTGAAAGGATTATACTAAAATAGCTCTACTGCAGCAATTTAACACACATTTCTTTCCCCTAAAGAAGAAGGAATTTCAAATAAGTGGACTGAGGCATAAGCACTATAGGAGCCATCTGAGTATACCAGACTATTTTCATAAAGTAGTAAGTTACTAAGCCTAATGGCTACCAAAAGAAAAAAAAAGTTTGACTATGTGACCTGAATGTAACCAATGTAGTAACACCTGCCTAAATCTGCTGACACCCTATCTCAGAGCTATGAATTTCCTTATGGGTAAATATAGGATATCAATGCCAAGACCTATTGCCTTGGGGCGTTTTACCAGAATAACACAACAGCACAAGACTTCATGGCAGAAAGAGGAAAATACAGTGTGCCTGCTCATCCAACCATTGAGACAGATGTACTTTGGTTGCTAAGGTAAGTATTCACGTCCTTCCCTGACCATGCTCTTCCCAAGGGAGGAGGCCTCTAGCCAATTATCCTCTGATATTCAGGAAGCTCCAAACCACGATCTCTATAATGGAAAGGTGATTCCCTGCTGCTATGTGTGTGTGTGGAGGGAAAAGGTGGGTTGGGTTATGGGGCCCTAATTGCCTTAATCTGGCCCCATAGCAGTTTAAAGGATCACTTGTAATAGTGAATAACCTATTTTATTAATTTTTACATCCTTCTGTACTCAAACTTTTGCAATAAGACCCCAATCTTCCTGAAGCTCTGAGGGCAAGGTCAGGGACTCAATGTTAAATCTGGAGCAAAATCTTGGTCTGACCAAGTTTTCTTCACCATATCCTCTTCTGTACTCCACTAATCTTGTGGGGAAGCTAGGAAATAGTTTAACCTCTGCCATGAAGTAGTGTAAATTAGAGCAACCCTGAAACTACCCTGCTTTGCAACATTCTTTTATGAGTCCATTATGCTGGAAAGGAGGGAGCAAGGAGTTGGATTTAGAGTCGGCAATTCTATTTGCATAATAGGTGGGTATGCCTGTACACAAGAGTAACACAACAGGAACAGATGAGAAGCAGAATCTGGGCTTGAGTCGCCTTATGCAATGCAGAAAAATCTTATCTTTCAAAGTAATTTGCACTTGCCTTAAATAACTGTATTCTAGACACTTCTGCAAAAGAATGAATCATCCACATAATAATTTCTTTCTTGCATTATCATGCACAAACTTTGACCCATTGCTTTCTCAAAGTAAGAGTCTATGAAAGTGCATTTGTATACAGTTAAGATCAGCCATGCTTTTTTAAGAGTATGAATAAACACTGTATTCAACAAGTTAGTGATGTACCTCTTTAACCTAAAAAACCCACAAAGATACATAAATGATTTTCTTCATTTACAGTTGGTTTTATAGGTCTTAACATGGCACAGTGAAAATTTCAATCACACACATAAACCAGTATTAAGAAGCAAAAATGAAAAAAAAGTGTTGGTTTTTATTCCTTTTACAAGCAGATTATTGTTACATATGCTGTCCATAAATCTTACCAAAAAGAAAGGCAAATTCGTCAGAGGTTCTGTAATGATAGAACCTGAAGATACAGTAGGGCACATCTATGCATAATTCAGATGACAAGTTATGTAAAGTATCACAAAGAGAGAGACATGCTTTTGTAAAATAAGTTTACATACAATGTATTATAGATTCAGTTAACTAAAGATCTTATGAAAGAAAGTTTTCACTGACATCATAAGATTTTGCTTTAGATTCCTTCTTCAGGATACTTCTTTTCAATGCACAGCCTGAACTTTGAAAAAGCTGTGTTCCTTCATCTGTAAAATGGGGACATAGTTACCTATTTCAGATCAGGATTAGTAAGCTAATGTCAACAAGGCACGTTAAAGCTGAAAATGGTTGTGTAAATGCTAAGTATTAATTACCAAAGTCTCCTTTCCACATCTGATTACTCATTTCAGATAGGGAAGAGAGCTCTTTTTATGGCTTGTTTTCATTTAAAACCTTTCTTCACAGAAAATTAGAAATGTAGGAGCACCAAGAGTGGGGCACACATAGAGGACACATCTCAAAAAACACCCGTTACTGCACAAGGTGAGTAACACCCCTTATATTTTTAGTGAGAGTATTGGGAAATACATTACCATCTTGAAAAATTCCCTGGACATGGGGAAATTTAAAACACCTCAACGCTAGCAAAATCTTCCTGTTCTGCTTCCACCCCAAATACATTTCAGATATTTAGGTTCATGCAGGCTTTGAGGCAAGGCCTAGTAAAGACTCCAGACAGCCTATAGAGAAACAGCTTCTGGACTGTCTACCTAGGAAGCAATACAATCTGCTGAAGTGATTTCAATCATAGTATCTCAGTCTCAGACCCCTTTATGCTGGGCAAAAATGATTTAAATGATCAAATTCTAGTGAAGTTGATGAACAGACAGCCTCCTTTGAGGCTGATGCACCTGTCTTCACGTAATTTGACTAAAATTCCCTCTTCCTTCCCCCCCCCCACCCACTTCCCTTTCACAGACTGAGCATGCAACAGTTTAGGCTAGTCAGCCTTCAACACAACAGGATTATAAACATCAGCATGGCTGCTGTATGACTACAAACAAAAACTATGAAAGGACATATGGGCCAACGGAGCACACCAATGCAAATCTCACCTTTCATCTCATGTAGAGGATCCAAACTGGGGGAATCCCATGCTAGAAACTGGATGTGGTAGACGATAATGTGGATGGAATGCTGCATACTACCTATATTTCAATTAACATCAGAGGACCAGATCACATCTTTAATTTCTCTCCAACTATAATATAATGTCAAGCATTGCTGTATGGCAACATAATCAAATTTGTCACCTGTTCACCTCACAGTTCAGCCCAGATGAACTTGCATTGTCTGAAATGCCAGAATTTGTCAAATTTTGTAGAGAATTATACTATTTTTCCAGACTGGAAGCTACACTAGATGAATTCCTAATGACCCACTAAAGAGATATTAATGTAGTGACGCAAAAAAAGCTACCTTGGACCTCCAATTAAGTTTCCTTCAACAGCAACAGCAACAACAACAACAACAAATGTGTAGGGTGCACTGGTTGACCCAAACACTTCACAAAGTTAAAGCTACCCTCAGTGATCAATATTGAGATGGGGTGGGGTGTGGTAAAGGAGCCAGCGTGCATATGTTTTGATGATGACCTATTGTTTCTATCTTCTAGGATAGTATTAAAACCAGAATACATGTGATCCTAGAATTGTCACTTGAACTTAAAGCTGACAGCTTTATACTGGGTCAAATAGCCTCTATTTGCTGGGTATCACTATACCAAAAGGAATGGTATATAGAGTTGTACTGATTGTGAGGGGTGAACTTTTGTTTCAATGAAAAAAAAATCTGTCCCTTTCTCCGCATTTTTTCCCTCAACCAGAAAGGCAAGTTTAATGGACTGGCAGACCTAATTGCAAAGAAAAGCATCTGTAGTGGTATGGCATCCACCTCTCACAAACATCCCTTCTGGTGAGGTGAGTCCTACCCGTGGTATTGAGCCATACCCCCAGAACTTCCTCCTTCAAAACTTTATTCTCCCATCTTTTCTGGCCTCAGCTCTCCAACTGGGCCTCTTAACAATTCAGATCCCCCTTTGGAGTTTATTGCTGTCCAATTGAAGGGCACTTCCTAGTGGTCTATAGGGAGGGATATATGGGGCTTGCCCACTATTCCTGATCCTTAAGAATAGCACCTATGTGCCATCATGTCCTGTTGCCTTCATGAATGCTTCCTCCTTACCCCAGGGCTTTTTAATATTCAGGCCCAGCAGCCAGCCAGCCACCAGAAGCTCGTCTGCTCCCTGAGGTCTTTGTCAGAACTGAGCTGTCCATGGTGCTGCAGTTCTCTTTAGCTCACCAGAATCATCATCTACGCCCAGGCTACTCAACTTTGGAAGCCCCAGGGACCACAATGATACTCACAGCACATGCTGAGGGCCACAACTTAAGTGTGGTTGCATATACATGCAAATATATGCAAATAGCTTCTTTCACACCGATGGGCGTGAATACAAAGCACTTCCCTCAATGCCCCAGCACGTCCTCCCTGGAGGCTAGAAACGCCAACACCCTGTATCTGTCTGTTCCAGCCAGCCTGTCCACTTGCGTCTTTCAATGCTCAACCCATCTGGGATATGCCTGACCATTGTAGACCATGTTCCCAGTGGAGGCCATGTTCAATGGATCCCACCCTCGGGCTGCGTGTTGATCCCTGCATAAACCCAAACTGCACTGCGGGCCGCAAAAAAATGGGCTGTGGGCCACATGCGGCCTACGGGCCACGTGTTGAGTAGCCCTGATCTACACTCCTCTGGCTCCAGCAAGGCATTGATTGTCTCTAGGTTCTGCAGCTCTTTTTATTTGGCTCTTCTGGGCCCGGACTGGCTGCTCCTTTATCCTCTTGCTGCAGCCATTCTCAGATGCTTAGAGGATTCTTTTCCTGCTCTTTTCCTGGAACACATGTGGCAGGACTCTGAGGCCTTTAACACAGCAATTTTGAGCCTAGTCCCATCCACCACCCCAATCACAGCATCACATACAATAGATGGCAAGCCCTAGAAAAAGCTGAGTCATTTGAGACAACTTGCTAGAACTGGTGAACTAAAAGTCCCTACAGGATGCCTGAAAATAAGACATTCCTTCCTTTCTATGCCTTCACCTCTCCAGATCTTTCTCCCCTTTTGCCCTTTAATTTTTTATTAATTTATTTGAATATATGATAAAGAAATCCATGTGTTGGGAACATATAGTAATTTTTTGAGTTGTTTTATGTGTTGGCATTTAAAATATCTTTGGTTTGTTACATGAAAAAAAAAATGACTTTTAACTGAGTCACACAAAAGGCTAAACATTTTAATGAGTCATCCTTCTTGTAAACAATTCAGACAGAATTTAATGGAGATGGATTCTGCCTTCATCATCTTAAAGCCCTGGTTTCCCAAGTAAAGCATGAAAATCGTATTTAGTACTCTGTACTACAAAATGTATTTTATTCTAATTTACCATAACAAAATGAAATTGACCTACATACAAACTTGAAAGATAGTTGTGTTTGCCAACTAAAATGAATACATTCATTGCACAAAATGCAGCAAAATTCAGGATATGTGGATAAATTCTGGTGAGAATCCTAATGAAATCAAATTACTTTGGGCTAGCTACCCTGCAACCTTCTTAGGAAGCTGCTTTAAAAATATTATTAAAAATTTAGTTTTATCCTGACTGTATCCACATGGGAAAAATCAGAGATATATAAGTTTCTTAAGCATAATCATTTGTACTTGTGTCATGCATTTGGTGTCTTTGTACCCTGCTTGAGTCAATGTGACTTTTCATGGAAGTAACTGTATTCCGATGCCTAACATTTTGCAGGACCAGAGCCTCCCTACATTTCTAAAAGAATTTATTTAGAAAAATTTCTATAAGCCATGGTCAATCTATAATCTATTCACATTTAATCACATTTATAAATGCTGTGCCAGAGAGGAATCAATCCTTTGCCTACCTCATTGAGTGATGTCCCGAAGTATAATCTAGTTTCCCATATTTCTGAGTGTGGTAGCCATGCTTCTGCATCAGGTCTATCCAGGTTGTATAATTTGGATCTAAACCTTTGAAGTTATTCCAAGATTCTGTTAAATGAGTAAAAAGGCCACTCCACATAGCTGCAAAAAAGCAAGTCAGAAACAAATGCCTGTCAATGCATTTATAAAATAATAATTAGGGCTGTCAAGCAATTAAAAATTAAGGATGATTAATTGTGCTGTGAAACAATAACAGAATACCACCTATTTAAATACTTTTGTATGATTTCTACTTTTTAAAGACATTGGTTTCAATTACAACACAGAACACAAAATAGACAGTGCTCACTTTATTTTTTTTATTACAAATATTTGCATTGTACCAAAAAGAAACAAAAGAAATTGTAGTTTTTCAATTCACCTCATATAAGTACTGCAATACAACTTCTTTATCAGGAAAGTACAACTTACAAATTTAGACTTAGGAACAAAATATAGCTGAACTCAAAAACAAAACAATGGAAAATTTTAGAGCCTACATGTCCACTCAGTCCTACTTCTTGGTTATCCATTCACTCTGGGTATGTCTATACAGAATAACTATTTCATGATACCTGCGTCTTAACAAACTGCCTGTTATTTCGAAGGTTATTTGAAGGTTCCATGAGGGTTAAGGGATGTTTCAAAATAGTGCATTATTTCAAAATTTAGTGCTGTGTAGATATGCCAAATTTCAAAATAAGCTAATTCGAAATAGAATCGAAATAAAATACGCAATTTGCGTATCTTATTTCGAATTTAAGGGTGCTGTGTAGCCACACACTCCGACAAACAAGTTTGTTTACAATTATGGGAGATAATGCTGCATGACAGATGTTTTAATCGAACCACCAAGTGCATGGTAATGGGTGGTATCTAAGTAACATTAGAGGGTGGCAACTTGACATGCCAGCAGTGATTGTAATTTGTTTGTACCTGTGTATAAAGTTGCATCTTGTAAGGATTATCTTTGTCAAGCATAGGGGGCCGTGATCCCTCTCGCGGACTGACCCGGTCCATTGTCAGGGGTACATATGCCTAGAGGTTCGTTAGAGTCTACTGACAACTATTACTGTACTTTTTATGACAGTAAACCTGGCCTGGTGCCTTCGATCCTTATGGGCTCTTTCAGAGTCTACTGCATTGACTACTTGTGCAAAGTCAACACAGCACACAAGAGGAGCACAGGCACACAGCTGAACAGTTAGCATCGTTCAACAGAGCAAGAGACCTGTCAGGACTTCTGACAGCCACACTTACTACTTCATTTACTAATTGACCATTTTTAATATGGTCTTACCTGCACGAGAAGGACAACATATTGGAGAATTGGTATAGGCATTGAGAAAAACAGTGCCATATTTTTTCATGAGATTTATAAAAGGCAAGATTACAGTCTGATTTCCTGGATAAAATGTCAACCTTCCATCCTGCAATCAAAGAGAAAATAGTTACCATTAAAACTGATAATGGTAACATTTCCTTTAATAATCAGAAAGAAAATATTATGAAAATGAACCAAAGCCCCAGTATGTGACAAATTAACCATTCTAGGAATTACTGAAACATACTTCATCCAGATTCTGGTTATCCAAGAGTAGTACTTAGTTCTGAATTTATAAATTGCAAAGAATAAAATCCTTAGGCAACTACATAGGAGGATAATAGTCAGCACTAATAAAGGGTTATTAAATCTGGCACTTTCCAAAAATGAATTATTCTGGAAAACTCAAACATGATTTCACCCAGCTGTCTAATCTTCATCTTTGGCAAGATGACTAAGAAGCCATCTTCAACAACATTGGAGCTATCTCTATCAATTATACCACCCTTCATCTCAAAACATGTTTCAGATTATAAAATGGCATAGAAACACTTTCAGTCACACTGATAATGGGGATGTTGAACTGAATGGTGATTTATGCTCTTGTCACATCCCAATTGGATTATACACTCTGGCTACGTCTACACTGACCCCTTTTCCGAAAGGGGCATGCTAATTTTAAACTTCGTAATAGGGAAATCCGCGGGGGATTTAAATATCCCCCGCGGGATTTAAATAAAGATGTCCGCCGCTTTTTTCCGGTTTGGAGAAAAGCCGGAAAAGAGTGTCTAGACTGGCCCGATCCTCCGGAATAAAGCCCTATTCTGGAGGATCTCTTATTCCTACTTCGAAGTAGGAATAAGAGATCCTCCAGAATAGGGCTTTATTCCGGAGGATCGGGCCAGTCTAGACACTCTTTTCCGGCTTTTCTCCAAACCGGAAAAAAGCGGCGGACATCTTTATTTAAATCCCGCGGGGGATATTTAAATCCCCCGCGGATTTCCCTATTACGAAGTTTAAAATTAGCATGCCCCTTTCGGAAAAGGGGCCAGTGTAGACATAGCCTCTATGTGTGGCTGCCTTCAGGAGTCTTTGGAAACTTCAACTGGTTCAGAATGTAGCTACTCAAGTTTTAACTTATACTTGTTATACCGAGCACATTATGCCAGTGCTCCAGCAGCTGCACTGGCTTCCAGTATGTATCCAGGCACAATTCAAGGTCTTGGTTATGACTTATAAAGCTCTAAATGGATTGGGACTGGGGTATTTGAAGGACCATCTTCTCCCACACAAGCCCTTCTGGGGATTGAAGTTAGCTCTGCTCTGTGTTCCTACACTTACGGAGATAAGGTTGACATCGATGCAGAGCAGAGCCTTCTCAACCTTTGCCTCTAGGCTATGGAATTCTCTCCCCTGGGACATTCGTCTGGCACCAATGTTGGCACTGTTTCGGTGGCAAGCCAAAGCCACCCTTTTCACTTGCGTGTTTATTGGTGTTTAGGTGTGTGTCTTGAGATGTTTTAACAGGTTTTATGTCCCCCCATTCAGGGTTCTATAGTGTGTGTGTGTGTGTGTGTGTCTTTTAAATA